AGCTTTTAAAATTGGTCAAAGAGCCGAATAATTCATTTTGTGCTGACTGTGGTGAACTTGGTAAGCAATGCTTTGGACTTCTGTTTCATTGTTTTCAACCTTTTCCAGGTCCACTATGGGCTTCTTGGAATTTGGGTGTTTTCTTGTGCGTGCGATGCGCAACCGTTCACCGAAAAATGGGCACCCATGTGTCCAAAGTGAAATCATTACAGCTCGACTCCTGGAATAAGGAGCAGTTTCAGGTAGCGAGATTAAACAGTGTCTAACATTCCTGTAGAGGTTAGCTGATAGCAACAACGTGCGTAGCAGAAAGCTGTATGAAGCTACCCTACCAGCTGGATTCATCAGGCCTCAGTCTGATTCAGCTCTTGAGATATTTATTCGGGCAAAGTATGAGCATCTACGGTTTACAAAGAGACATGACTCTACTGAACCGAACGAGCTAACCAAGACACCGACGGCCTCGGTCCCTTTCTCCTGCAATGTCTTTGTTGGCAATGGTATTTTACTACCATTCATTAACCTTATTTTTTCCAACTTCAGATCTGATCGATTTCGAAACGCCCCCAGATGAATCACTACTGACTGCACCACTCTCTTCTAATTTTCCCCCTACAGTTCCATCTGACCATTCAGCCATCTTATCCCTATATAATCATCCCCCTTCTGGCTATGGTACGTGGTTTCTTTTCGCACTAACATCTAGACATCCCATGAGAAGTTGGACTCTTAGATTACTTATTCTAGTTTCTTGTCTTAGTTATCCTTGAGCCATTCTAAATTATCAGCGTTTCGGACTCCTCGAATGGTTTTAACTCTTCGAAGGAGCTTTGTTGCCATTGCGCTCAGTCAACCAGTTGCTGCATAATCGGTAAAACACTAGACATCCGTTTCGTCCTTTCGGGACTCCTCAATAACGCCGATTCCATCTGCGTTGTGTGGGGTTATACTCCTTGAGTCACTTTCGACTCGACGGTTGGGACCACTGGGCCACAACGGAGTTAGCGGCAGCCTCATTGGTGATATATATATTGCGACTCGTCTTCCACTGTCATTTGCACGTCTAATGTGCAGAGTACAATGATGATTTCCAGAGACAACTTCCCTTGCCCACTGACTCGAATCTGAATTTTCACGGTTTCTTGCTCATCATCTAGCAGATGGAATGCCCGCTGTAGGCAAGTCCTGAAGGGATGGGACGGCCGCCTGATTCTTTCCGGTTGGTCTGCAGCTCTTTGGCTGTGACAAATCTGCTTCGATATTAGTCCAACTTCCCCCTTTCATGATCTTGAACAGTTGCAATTTTTATTCATCTCCCTAAGCTTATTGCTATTTTTGGTGACTTGACTCACAGCAATTGGACTCATCTCACTTCGGTGCACTAGCCATAGCTGAACTGGGGATATTGTGAGACACGTCGCCTTTGATTTTTGTACCTCCTAAAAACCGCTTATGCTTGATGCAGGCACCAATTGGGTAGTACTGGGTCCACCGATGAGTGGCAGTAGACCATTTATTACCACACTACAGTGTCTGCTGAACTCTGCCTACATTGACTAGGCACCGTTCTTCGCATACCTGCCCACCACCCACTTTGGCATGTGACATCTCCGGGACCGTACTTGGTTGACTGAAACCTAATGTCGTGGCCATGAAACCCGATGAATTTACTCGTGCGACTCCGGTGGACCAAGGACCAAGGCTACGTCAATTAGAGCATCTTCCCAATTTAACGCAGCCACGAAGCCAGCAGCGTTCTAATGTTCGGTCCGTTACTTCTGACCGTTGATTTTTCTACCTAACAATTCTACTCTTTTCCTTCATTCCGATTCCTCTGAACATTATATTCGGATATCTGTGTTCTTTGCAAATCTATTCCCTCTATCGCCAGCGCCAGTCATAGTAATTGGATCAATCGCACTTCGGTGTTCATGTTGGTTGTTTTGCAGGGATGAGTATCATTCATGATTCACTCACCTGACGTACGAAGGAGAGGTAAGACAGTTAACTCAATCCCACTTACAGTGGTGAACCTTGATCATCGCGATAAAACTGGACCTTAAAGTGGTGCGATGGTTTGTGTGCCTCTGATCCATTGAGCTATGCTGGGTGGTTCTTTTTGCACCTTCAGAGACACTCATACCAGATTGGTCAATGGTTGGAGGCCAGACAACCTCAGTCCCCTGGTCATTCAGGTTGGGGGTTGGAATGAGGGTGGCTCCTTACTCCGTAAAACGGGCTCTCTGTAGTCCAGTGCCAAAGCCCCGCTCCCTTACGGTAGGGTTTTTGAACCAAAGGCTTTGCTTGAGAATCTTAATCGTTCTCCTGTCTAGGCCTGGGCAACCTGACAGTATCCTGCCCACACAATACACCATGACTCTTCTTTCTAACAATCTCTTGATGCTCTGGCCGTCACAGAGGATAATCAACGGTGCCCTATCTGCTGCATCGCGCAGGGTGGATAGGGGTTTGGATGCTACTGCTCAGACTTCCCTGTCTTCCTATCCTCCTTGCGCTTTTTCATCCTTATCGTACCCCTCCAACTTTACTTTTATCCCCCACTTTCAATCTCCTAATTCTTGGCCCTTCCCCACGCGCTTCAATGTCGGCCGGTGGCCGAGTGGTCTGCACGTTTGCTTTGCAACCATGAGGTCACCGGTTCGAATCCGCGTAGGGGTGGGCGTCCTCCCGGTATACTCAGCCCGCGCGCGACTGGTGGTGGTCGCGCGGCATCGAAGCGCCTTTACGGCATACAGCTGACACATTATTATTTATTTATTACTTGCTTCAATAGTCGCTTGTCTTCTAGTTTCAGTTCACACACAGTTGCAGGGCATCGCTCCAATCCAGTCGACAAGTCCATGTTCTACCAAGCGGACAACGTCAGTTCATCCGTTTCCCTTTGTAGTCATCGAGTCTTGCTGAGACTGGCACTCCTCAAGTGCGCACTTTGCTACAGATTGGTCACCAGTCAGCATTTGCCCACAAACTAGAGGCCCTATCGATCGACATTTGCTGTTTATCGGAACCCTGCCTGCAAGATTCGAGCTCCGTGATTAACCTGCGATCCTCCACATGCGACACTGGCGGCACATTCTTGTTGCGCCTGTCTCGCGATGATGCGGCTTCAAATGTCGGTCAAGCTGGCGTCGGCATTGTTCTGAGTCCCCGAATTGAAGCTGCCCTGATCAATTGGATCCCAGTCAACAGTCGGATGTGCGCCGTGAGATTAGCTGATTCGTTTCATTCCACGAAGTCGCGTGGGAACAAATCGTGCCTGTTTGTCATTGCGGCCTACTCCCCTACAAACTGCAGCACTGATTCGGTGAAAGATGATTTCTCTCAGCAACTTCACGATCTCCTTCGTTACAGAAGTAGCACGGATACTGTGGTGTTGGCTGTTGATCTGAACTCCCAAGTCGGAATATTGTCCTCTGATGAGCTTCATCTGGACGGCCAACATGGTGTAGGCTCCCGTAATGATAACGGTGAACAATTGCTACAGCTGTATGAAGATGCTCGTCTCTTTCTCGCGAGCACTTTCGACACAGCATCCGCAGAAGCGTGACTTGGCGCCCACCAGCTTCGCGCCAGCCGTGGATGCAAATCGATCATATCACGATCAGTTACTGCTGGAGAGGCTGTGTCCAAAAATGTCGCTCGATTTGGGGCACTAGCGTGGACTCCGATCACACTCTCGTATGTGTCGACCTGCGGCTGCCTTTCGATGGACGTCCGCAACGTCGCTCTGAGCGCATTCCTACTAGCCAGCTGGCGAAGCCAGGTGTTCTAAATGCATATCAAATTACGCTGGCATCTAGATTGAGTAAGCGTACACTGAACACCGTCGAAGATCAATGGTCGCATATTCGTCAAACGTTACTATCAGCAGGCATGTCTTCATGTGACAAATCAAATTGCCAGCCTGGACATTGGGTCTCTACAGAGTCTCTGGAACTTATGGATGCTCGCCGACGTATTCCGGCTGGAAGCGAATATAATGAGACTCGCAAAAGTCTCAGGGCAAAACTGCGTGCTAGCCTGAAGAGAGACCGCGAAGCCTGGTGGTCTCATCGTGCAACGGAAGTGGAAACAGCCGCTGCCGTTGGCAATCATCGTAAGTTATCCCGTCTGATGCGGGAAACAGGCAGCAGGAGACCTGGTGTTAACGAGACAATACGCGACAAGAGTGGACAGCCGATCCACAGCTTGTCAAAACGCTTTTAGGGGTTGGACCGAACACTTTGCAAGTCAGTTTAGCCAATCTGAGTTATCGGTTTCTCTTTCGGGCCTTGAGTGCCGTTCTCCATGGGCGGTCTCCTTAGATCCGCCCTCACGCGCAGAAGTCGAACGTGAGATCAGACTGTTGCAATTGTATAAGGTCGCTAGTACAGGTAGAATTCCCATAGCTCTCTACAAATTTGGGGGTCCTGCTTTTGTGGATGATTTACACGGGTTGCTAATGGAACTTTGGGAGCAGGAGACTAGTCCGACAGACTGGAGCCGCTCCGTCATAGTCCCAATTTTCAAGGGAAACTCCCGTTCGGAATGCGGCAACTCTAGAGGCATCAGTCTGATCTCAATTGCCTCTAAATTACTTGCTTCTATCGTACTTCACAGACTGATTGGTGCTCGTGAAGGCCAGATCCACGAAGAGCAAACCGGTTTTCGTCGCAATCGAGGCTGTATCGGCCACATCTTCACTTTGCGTCAATTGTTGTAGCAGCGCTATGTTTTTTGGCGACGCACGTAGTCGTGTTTTTTGACATCAAACGGGCCTTTGATTTGATGGCTCGATGTGCATTTTGGGACTGTCTGCTGCGAAACTAGGATCAATGACCCTAACGGGTTATTGAATTAACTGCACCCGGCTTATCTTCTCGTGAATGGTCGCACGCATCCAGAGACGTCGATGCAGCACTCACGGGTCAAGCTGGTGTAGGTATCATTCTAAACTCCAAGGCTGAGTCATCGTTGGTTGATTGGATTCCGGTGAACAGCCGTTTATGTGCAGCCCGTTTGACGACATCAGCTAAGGTGGATTCACGAAGTAATACAAAACGCTGTTTGTTTGTGATTTCTGCTTATGCTCCCACCGATTGCAGTTCTAATGCTGTCAAGGACATTCTATCACGAACTTAACGTGCTACTACGCAGTGCTAATAGTTCAGGTATTATATTACTTACAGAGGATGTGAACCCACAAGTAGGGCGTCTGAGCTCTTCAGAAGTTCAGCTGGGTGGTAATTATGGGCTTAACCCCAAACGGACTGACAACAGTGATCGTCTGCTGCAACTGTGTGCGGAGCACCAGTTGTTTCTTAGTAACACTGCTTTTAGACACAGTGGGCGCCGAAGTGCCACTTGGCGTCCTCCTGTAGCTGGCCAGCGATGGACCCAAATTGACCACATAGCCATAAGTTACAGATGGCGTGGTTCCATCCTGGCTTGCCGCTCGTACTGGAGTACCTGTGTCGACTCTGATCATGCCTTAGTACGCTGCGTTTCTTCATGAACTTTACTGGGAGGCGCACCAAGCGTCTCCTCCAATTGGCAACTGAGAAATTGTCTCAGTCCTCGGTCAGGCGAGCCCATCAAGAAGCACTGTATTCCGAACTTCCGCTCTCTTATCCTAATGACACTGAACTTCGGTGGAACAGGATCTTGGCCGTCAT